GTGTGTGTGTGTGTGTGTGTGTGAGAGAGAGAGAGAGAGAGAGAGAGAGAGAGAGAGAGAGAGAGAGAGAGAGAGAGAGAGATGCTGTTGGACTACGCATTTCAGCATCCCCAGGGGGCTGGTGGGGGCTGCAGCCCAGCAATGCCTGGGGGGCCACTGTTTATGCCCCCTGGCTGTGAAGGGGGCAGGAGATCATGAGTTCAAAGATTTCCCCCCCAAAATGCACCAAAAGCGAACATCTCTGCCCCAATGAACACACTCCTCTTCCCATAGCTCAGGGGCCTTGCCCCCTGCTGGACTTGAGCTGCATTGGCCACGCTGACTGGGGATGCTGGGAGCTGGAGTGCGACATGTTTGGGAGGCGACCGGTTAGGGAAAGGGCTCCGTGGTGCCCCCTTCAGCCACGGAATGGGGTGACCAGTGCCATTGTCTTGCCAGTGAGCACGATCCTTTACTCAGAGGTCAGCCCCATTGAGTGGAGTGGGACTCACACCCAGGGGCCTTGCTATGGGCTTGCAGGTTTAACGTGTAAGACAGAGAGTCAGTGCAGAGGAGTGGGTGGGCCCAGACTGAGGAGGTGCGGCTTGGAGGCACAGCTGAGTCCCAAAGGCCACCGGGTGATTTCGGGCCAGCCACCAGCCCTCGACCCAGCCCACCTCGCAGGGTGGGTGTGAGGATGCAGTGAGGAGGAGCACGAGAAAGGCAACAATCCGGCCTCAGCACGGTGGCACACGCGTGTCCAGGGGGACATTTGGCATAACGCACAGGCGACCTTTAACCTTCCCAGTTCCCTGTCCTCCCCAAATAATGGCCCAACAGCTGTTTGGCTCCCCAGACAAGAGAAAGACTCTCGGCCCGTGTTGCTCTGCCTTTGGTGCTTGTTCACCATCCTGTGTTTATGCTCACAACACCCCTGTGAGGTAGGCTGGGCAGAGAGGTATGATTTGGGCCAGAGTCTGCGGGAAATCAGGGCCAGATGCCGTTTCGATGCCTTGCTTGTTCTCTGCATCCACCCGGCTGCCTCAGCTCCACGGAGGTGCCAGATCAGAGAATGAGGGCACCTCGAACTGTGGGCCCCTCCCTCCAGCCAGGGGCTGCTGGGCCCTGAGCAAGAAACGCAGGAGCCCTGTTGCAGCCTGCAGAGCCCAGCTTTTGGCATCCCTGCCTCCCGTGGCTTGTGGCCTTCCTGCACAGCCAGCTTCCTTCCTTCCTTCCACACTGCTTTTCCACCTATCCCCCCACCATCCACGTTGCTTTTCCGTCATTTCCTTCCTTGCGCATCCTCTCCCTTCTGTCTCCAGTCCCTGACCCTCCGAATGCATGTCCCTCCATCCTGCCCACATCGAAACCTCTCTTCCTCTCCCTGTCCCCACGCTCTGCGCAGTTTACTTCCCCGTCCAATGTCCCTTAGGCACTGCAGCAGCAGCGGAGCAACCCAGGGTCAGCTTACAAGAGCAGGGGGGGGGGGGGAGGGCCAGGCGAGGCGGGCTGCAGTGGTCCAAGGACAAAGCGAAGCCGTGCCGGGTGACCCTCACAGAGACGTGGCCTGCTATTTTTTCCTCCAGCCTGGCGCAGTGGGACGCTGTATTAAATAACAAATCCTCTTCTGGATTGGCCAGAGTTCTTTTGGAGAGACATGGGGGCCGGAGAGGAGGGGCAGCCAGGCTGTAATATTCACAGGTTGAGCAATGCTCAGTTTCTGGTGCCCTTTCCATAAACGCCGCCCCTGGGTGGATGGAGCTTTGCTGCATGACTCAGTTTTCCCCATCTGTTAAATGGGATCCAGGCATCTGGTCTCAAGAGGGCACATTTCGTGGTGTTCCAAGCTGAGCAGGGCTCAGCACTGACTGCTGATGGGGATCCTTTTCTTTTTCAGTTACTCCTTCAGCACTGCTAAAACTGAAAGGGGGGACTCGAAACCGCTCGGTCTCCCTAGCCTGAGGGCCTGTCACTCACCTTTCAAGAAGAGGCACTCTGTGCATGCTCTAATCCCTCAGCGAAGCAGATGGAGGGGTGGACAGGGAGCAAACATTTCAGGGGAAAAGACGGGTTCACACCCATCCAGCCTTTGCAAGGAGCCAATAAAAATGCAGCCCCTCTGAGGCCCGTGGCGAGATGCAGCAGCAAAGAAAGCCGACCCCTTCGTGGGCAGAGGCTGGGGGCCCAAGGACGGGAGGGAGCCCTTTTGCTCTCCCTTGCCGCACTCTGGCTGTTCTTGGTGCACCGCTCTGGACGGATTACTCTGCTTTGGTCATGGGCCAGGCAACGGTGCCCGGTCTGAGGAAGGGAGGGCCTGGAGCAGCTGCCATGGGGCCAGAAAAGAGCAACCCTGTGAGTACAGGCCTGGAAACAAGATGGGTGGCTGAAGGGGGGGTCTCCTTAGCGTGGGGAGAAGATGAAGGGGCAATGCTAGAATGTGAGAAGAGCAGGGTTACCCTCTTGGGGAGGCTGCCTGTTCCCAGTACCGAGAAGGCCACCACCTCTGCCTTGGAGCCACTGCTGCCATCCGGGCGAGAGTTGGAGGTTGCCCAGTAGCTGAACAAACCAGCCCTGCGGATCCACCAGGTGGATGTGGCATCACTGCCGGCCCCCGGCAGGCCCTTGGTTGTGGGTGCCGTTGCTGGGAGCAGGTCATGCCCTCTCTTTTCCTGAGCCCCGTTTGCTGCTTCTGCGTACGGAAACAGAGGGTGTGGGATACTCACAAGAGAAGGTGGTGTGATTCTCGCCAACATACTCACTCTGATGTTGAGAAGCGTATCAGTTTGTGGCAGAGAGAGCCGGTCAGGAAAAGCGATAAACAGCGGTGGGGGAATGAATGAACGCCTCACTTCCTCCCTTACTCAGAGTGCAGCTCTTCTTGGATGCAAACACGCGTGTTTTGAGGGTGCAGGGGAATTTAGGGCTTTGCCCTGAACCAAGCGCTGTTTTTCTGCTTTTTTTGACCTTGCAGGTTCCCAGGGAAGGTCGTTGGTGCCGTGGGCAGCTGGGGGAAGGGGGAAAGGGGGCTCCACAGAGGGATGGGGGGGGGAGCCAAATTTCCCCACCCACTAGGCCTGTGCAGCATTTACAGTCAGCTGCACACTCGGAAAATGTGCCCAGCACCTGGGAGCTGCAGTCGTTACCTGGATCTCTAAACGAGATTGCTGCGGGGCGTTGCGTTAGCACTGGTTGCAGTGGACTGGTGTGTCCCAAGTGGTATGTTATGCTCGGCGTGTGACGCTTTTCTGCCCAGATCTTGTCTTTGCCTGCTAAAGAATACGCCTCACTTGTGTTTTTTATGGAGCAAAGTGGCTTCCTTCCGCCTGATTCCCAACAGAAGTTTCAACTCCCCGCATTCCTGACCCTTCAGCTCCCTGCATTCCGGGCTGGGACTGATGGTGATTGAAGTCAGACTCACTATGGGGAGAGTGGCTATGGGTGAATGAGAGGGGCATCTGGGCGGGGATGAGAAGTGGGGACGTGACACTGCCGGTTTCTCAGAGAATCCGGCTTTTGAAGAGTAGGAAATGCCTCTTTGTCTCCTTAGGTTGTGCCTATATAAATATAATGAAATTATCAGCTGCATTGGTTTAGGAGTCCGAGGCGTATGTCCATCACCAAAAGTCTGAGAATCTGGACATGTTCCCTGCAGAGAGTGTTGGGTTTTGGCTGAGGACACTTAAAATACACATGGGGGGAGGATAGGATGCTGAGAGGGAGGAGTGAGTCTGGGTCCAACCATTCTGCTGCGCTGACTCTCTGTCTTACACGTTAAACCTGCAAGCCCATAGCAAGGCCCCTGGGTGTGAGTCCCATTGAAAACAATGGGGCTGACTTCAGAGTAGGCACGTAAAGGATCGTGCTCACTGGCAAGACAGTGGCACTGGTCACCCCATTCCGTGGCTGAAGGGGGCACCACGGAGCCCTTTCCCTAACCGGTCGCCTCCCAAACATGTCGCACTCCAGCTCCCAGCATCCCCAGTCAGTGTGGCCAATGCAGCTTGAGTTCAACAGGGGGCAAGGCCCCTGAGCTATGGGAAGATGTGTGTGTTCATTGGGGCAGAGATGTTCACTTTTGGTGCTACATAAAGGATCGTGCTCACTGGCAAGACAGTGGCACTGGTCACCCCATTCCGTGGCTGAAGGGGGCACCACAGAGCCCTTTCCCTAACGGGATCGCCTCCCACACCGCCTCTTGCTTTTGAAGAAGAAGAAATGAAGTAAGAAATGCCTGCTTGTCTCCTAAGATTGGGAGTCGGGCTGAAACTCGGGGGCAACATTTTCAAAAGGGGCATTTTCCCTTTTGGGCTGGAATCCCTGGGTTGGACAACAACCCACGGCGGAACCCTTCCTCTTGCCCCACATTCCACCCTCAGCATCCTCAGGTAAAAGGCCCCCAGCTTTTAACGCGAAGCCCCTTTCCGGCCCCAGGCCCACTTGCTCTTCCCCAGCTGCTGCCTCCCGCTGAATTTTTCCTCTGGCATTTCCCCCCGGAAATCAGCTTCCTTCCCCTCCATGCTCTTTTTCAAATGGGGGACCACATTCCTTCAAGGCCTTGGGCTCAGGCCTCCTTGTGCCTTGGAATACCCCGAGGTCTTGAGGCCTGGATCCTTCTGGCACCCAGAACCACCCCGAATGAAGGATTTACGGAAGCGTGAGGCACAGTGCGGGGAAGTCAGGATCCGACAGCCACTGGGTTAGGAATTACGGGTTGTAATAGCCACATTACAGGAAGGACATAGCCAGGTTGGAGTCCGTGAAGGGTAGGGCCACAAGGTTGGTGGCCGGTTTGCAGGGGAAACCTGAGGGAGCTGGGTCTTTTCAGCCTGGAGAAGAGGACACTCCGAGGGGATCTGTTGGCGACATGCAGGTATGTGTGGGGGTGTCACACAGAGGTGGATAGAGACCTGTTCTCCCCTGCAGAGGAGCACAAGACGTGCTGCCACGGAGCAGAGTTCAAGGGACCAAGGTTCAATTGGGATGCCAGGAAGTCCTTCCTGATGGTTAGGACCCCGAGGGTACGGAAAGGGCTTCCACAGGAGATGGTTGAGGCCCCATCGCTGAGGGTGTTCAAGGCTAGGCTGGACATGCACATGGAAGGCATGTCACGACCAGAGCTGGCTGGAGGCAGGGTCAGACTAGATGGCCCGGGAGGCCCCTTCTGACTCGCTCAGTGTTTCTGTGTCTCACGCATCTTTGTCTGCCCTCCATCTCCAGGTTCTACTGGGACTTCACGATGCTGCTCTTCATGGTGGGCAACCTCATCATCATCCCCGTGGGCATCACCTTCTTCAAGGAGGAGACCACAGCCCCCTGGATCGTCTTCAACGTGGTCTCCGACACTTTCTTTCTCATGGACTTGGTCATGAACTTCCGGACGGGCATCGTCATTGAGGATAACACCGAGATCATTCTGGACCCTGAGCGGATCAAGAAGAAGTACCTGAAGACCTGGTTCGTGGTGGACTTTGTCTCCTCCATCCCTGTGGATTATATCTTCCTCATCGTGGAGAAGGGGATCGACTCAGAGGTCTACAAGACGGCCCGGGCCTTGCGCATCGTCCGCTTCACCAAGATCCTCAGCCTCCTGCGGCTGCTCCGGCTCTCTCGCCTCATCCGGTACATCCACCAGTGGGAGGAGGTAAGAACCGGGGGCTGAAGGCAAGGCTCAGAGCCGACCCGGGGTTGGGACATGGATGAGACAGGGAGAGGCATTTCAGTGATGGTACCCTACTTAACCCCTTCATGGGTCCCTGCCTTGTCGTGGCGAAGGGGCTTGTCTAGCTCAGAGAAGCGATGAGCTATGCTGTGCAGGGGCACCCAAGACATACAGGTCATAGCTGAGATCTCTGGCCAAAGGTGACCCCCTGGAGAAGGAAACGGCAACCCACTCCAGTCCCCTTGCCATGAAAACCCCACGGGCAGTACCAAAAGGCAGAGATATGAGGCCGGAAGATGAGCCCCTCAGGTCGGAAGGTGTCCAATGTGCTCCTGGGGAAGAGTAGAGGGCTAGTACTAGTAGCGCCAGGAAGAGCGAAGCGACTGGGTCAAAGCCGAAAGGACACTCAGTTGCAGATGTATCTGGTGGTGAAAGGAGAGTCCGATGCCGCAAAGATCTATACTCCACAGAAACCTGGAATGTAAAATCCATGAATCAAGGCAAGCTGGACTTTAGAGACAGATTTTATTTTCTTGAGCTCCGAGACACTTGCTCCTGGGGAGGAAAGCTCTGGCAAATCTAGACAGCATACTAAAAAGCAGAGACATCACCCTGCCAACAAAAGTGCTTACAGTCAAGGCGATGGTTTTCCCAGTTGCAATGCATGGCTGTGAAAGCTGGACCATAAGGAAGGCTGAGCGCCAAAGGATTGAGGCCTTTGGATTGTGGTGCTGGAGGAGACTCTGCGAGTCCCTTGGACCGCAAGGCGATCAAACTGGTCAGTCCTGGAGGAGATCAACCCCGACTGCTCTTCAGAAGGCCAGATACTGAAGATGAAACTCAAATACTTTGGCCACCTGATGAGAAGGAAGGACTCCCTGGAGAAGACCCTGATGCTGGGAACAATAGATGGCAAAAGAAGAAGGGGACGGCAGCGGATGAGGTGGCTGGATGGGGTCACTGAGGCAGTGGGGGTGAGCTTGGGTGGACTCCGGGGGGTGGTGGGGGACAGGAAGGCCTGGAGGAGTGTTGCCCATGGGGTCATGAAGGATTGGGCATGACTTTGCGATTAAACAACAACAAAGTTGGACGTGGTCAAGCATGAGATGACAAGACTGAACATCGACATCTTGGGAATCAGCGAACTAAAATGGACAGGAAGGGGTGGATTTAATTCAGATGACCATCAGGTATCCTACTGGGGCAAGAATCCCTCAGAAGAAATGGAGTAGCCTTCATAGCCAATAAAAGAGTAGGAAAAGCAGTACTGGGAAACAATCTCCAAAAATGGCAGAATGATCTCACTTTGAATCCAAGGCAAACCATTCAGCATCCCAGGAGTCCAAGTCTGTGCCCCAGCCACTGGTGCTGAAGAGGCTGAAGTTGACCGGATCTATGAAGGCCTACAGCACCTTCCAGAATTAACACCAAAAATGGTGTTCTTATCATCATGGGGGATTTGAATGCTAAAGTGGGAAGCCAAAAGATAACCGAAATAACAGGCATGTTTGGCCTTGGAGTACAAAATGAAGCAGGGCACAGGCTGGTAGAATTTTGTCAAGAGAACATGCTGGTCATAGCAAACACTCTTTTCCAGCAACCCAAGAGACGACTCTACACATGGACATCACCAGACGGTCAACACAGAAATCAGACTGACCATGTGCTCTGCAGCCAAAGATGGAGAAGCTCTACACAGTCAGTAAAAACTAGACCAGGAGCTGACTGTGGCTCAGAGCATGAGCTTCTGGTTGTAAAATTTAGGCTTAAATTGAAGAAATCAGGGAAAAGCATTAGGCCACTGAGGTATGACCTAAATCATATCCCTGCTGAATATACAGTTGAGGTGACAAATAGATTTAAGGAATTAGATCTGATAGACAGAGTGCATGAAGAACTATTGAGGGAGGTTTGCAACATTGTACAAGAGGTAGCAACTAAAACCATCCCAAAGAAAAAGAAATGCAAGAAAGCAAAATGGCTGTCTGAGGAAGCTTTACAAATAGCTGAGGAAAGAAGGGAAGCGAAAGGCAAGGGAGAAAGAGAAAGATACACCCAACTGAATGCAGAATTCCAGAGAAAAGTTAGAAGAGATAAGAAGGCCTTCTTAAATGATCAGTGCCAAGAAATAGAAGAAAACAATAGAATAGGGAGGACCAGAGATCTCTTCAAGAAAATTGGAGACATGAAGGGAAGGTTTCATGCAAAGATGGACATGATAAAGGACCAAAATGGCAGGGACCTAACAGAATCAGAGGAGATTAAGAAGAGGTGGAAAGATTACACAGAAGAACTATTCAAGAAAGAGCTTATCGTCCCTGATAACCACGATGGGGTGGTCACTGACCTCGAGCCAGACATCCTGGAAGGTGAAGTCAAATGGGCCTTAGGGAGTCTGAGCAACAGCAAAGCTAGTGGAGGAGGGTGTTCCATCTGAGCTATTTAAAATCCTAAAAGACGACACAGTAAAAGTGCTGCACTCAATATGCCAGCGAATTTGGAAAACTCAACAGTGGTCACAGGATTGGAAAAGGTCAGTTTACATTCCGATCCCAAAGAAGGGCCATGCCAAAGAACATTCAAACTACTGCACCATTGCGCTCATTCCACATGCTAGCCAAATTATGCTCAAAATCCTACAAGCTAGGCTCCAGCGGTATGTGGACCAAGAACTACCAGAAGTACAGGCAGGGTTTCGAAGAGGCAGAGGAACTAGAGATCAAATTGCCAACACACGCTGGATCATGGAGAAAGCTAAGGAGTTCCAGAAAAACACCTGCTTCATTGACTATGCTAAAGCCTTTGATTGTGTGGATCACAATAAATTGTGGCTAGTATTTAAAGAGATGGGAGTACCAGACCATCTTATTTGTCTCTTGAGAAACCTGTATGCGGGTCAAGAAGCAACAGTGAGAACTGGAACCACTGACTGGTTCAAAATTGAGAAAGGAGTTTGGCAAGGCTGTATACTGTCGCCCTGCCTATTTAACTTGTATGCAGAGCACATCATGAGAAAGGCGGGGCTAGATGGATCACCAGTTAGAATTAAGATTGCTGGGAGAAATATCAACATCCTCAGATATGCAGATGATACTCTAATGGCCGAAAGTGAAGAGGCACTAAAGAGCCTTTTGATGCGGGTGAAGGAGGAGAGTGCAAAAGTTGGCTTGAAACTCAACATTAGGAAAACTAAGATCATGGCATCCGGTCCTCACACTTCCTGGCAGAGAGATGAGGAAGAAATGGGGGTAGGGACAGAGTTTATTTTCCTGGGCTCCAAGATCACCGCAGATGGGGACTACAGCCAAGAAATTAAAAGACACTTGCTCTTGGGAGGAAAGCTATGGCAAATCTAGCCAGCATACTAAACAGCAGAGACATCACCCTGCCGACAAAAGTGTGTATAGACAAGGCTATGGTTTTCCTAGTTGCAATGTATGGCTGTGAGAGCTGGACCATAAGGAAGCCTGAGCGCCAAAGGATTGAGGCCTTTGAATTGTGGTGCTGGAGGAGACTCCTGAGAATCCCTTGGACAGCAAGGCGATCAAACCGGTCAGTCCTAGAGGAGATCAACCCTGACTGCTCTTTAGAAGGCCAGGTACCGAAGATGAAACTCAAATACTTTGGCCACCTAATGAGAGGGAAGGACTCCCTGGAGAAGAGCCTGATGCTGGGAAGGATTGAGGGCAAAAGAAGGAGGGGACGGCAGAGGATGAGGGGGCTGGATGGGGTCACTGGGGCGATGGGTGTGAGCTCAGGCAGACTCCAGGGGATGGTGGAGGGCAGGAAGGCCTGGACTGGTGTTGTCCATGGGGTCACGATGGGTCGGGCACGACTTCACAGCTGACAACAACAACAACCCTTCTTAAGAAATGGCCACTCAAAAGGGGCTTGGTTGGCTTCCATGTTCATTTGCCTAAGTTATTTATCCTACTTCTATCCTGCCTTTTTCCTGTGAGGAACCTGATGGCATGGCTCACCTCCTCCTCTCCATTTTTATCTTCACAACAGCCCTTTGAGGTAGGTTAGGTGGACAGTCCATGGCTGTCTCAGTGAATGTCACTGAGTCAGCTTCATAAATGTATGAGTCGTTGAACCCGGATCTGCCCAATCTAACACTCCGACTGTCATGTGGCACGGACTCCTTCAGAACCTCAAGGCCAAACACATCCTTCTAGCACCAAAAGAGACCCTTTGGGTTTCCCCTGCCATTTTAAGAACTGTTTTGGTGCTTTTGCTGCTATGTCCTGCAGCAGAATTTTAATTTGCTTTTATGATGTTGCAATGGTCACATGTTTATTTGGAGGTTTAATTTTGCAGTTTTTTTCAATGATTGGGTAGTTTAAAAGAAGAGTAAATAAATAAACTGGCACAAGCAGAGATTCTGGCAGAAACATTATATGGGATAAGACTTCTAATGATAATTTTAAAGCATTTTGTGCTCTAATCTTGAATGTGATGCAGAATTACAGAGCACATCCCCTTGATAAAACCTAAGTAGTTTGAGCTCCAGTCCTGAATTCCAATTAGCTCTGGTCAGATCCTAATAATAAATTTTCCAAGGCCTTTCAAAACAGCAGCTTAAGCTGTGTTTTGTTTTTTGAACTTTCAATGCCTTACACTATGTTAAAACATTTTAATGGATTCTATTTATTTGAGTTTTTCCTTATTTACAGTATTTCTATACCACTCTATATTCCTGAGCAGTGAATGCTAAACGAAAGTAAAAAGGATCTAAACCCAGAATGGATATATCTAATACCGGACTATAACAAGAAAACTGGTTGGTTACTCAGCAATGGCTGGATCAGGGAAAAATTTCTGCGGTGGGCATCGGGAATGAATTTGGGTTGGCAGCAACAAGGAAGGAGTCCCACAGAAAGGGGTCACCACACAGAAGCCTGCTCGGAGTGGGACCCCTGGCAGCAGCCCCAAGTATTTTGCCTGCATCTTATTTGGCATGGTTTGAGCGTGACAACGCTGGGAATTCTCCAGGTGGCCCTGCTCTCATCTCTGCCTGCGAAAAAGGCAACCCTGAGATGGCCAAGTGTTGGGAAAGGGGGCGGCCAAGCGACTCCCCTGTGAGGAGCTGGTATGGCACTGAGAGCGTTTTAAAGTTCAGCTCATACGGGTCAGCGGGGTTTGTGTCTGTGGTGAGAAAAAGAGGAGGAACACGGGAGATCTTGGCCCCATTGCCTTCCCCTCCTTACCTGCAACAAAGGAGGAAGGAACTTGGCTGTGGGGCAGCCGCCAGCTCTTCCTTCTGGTCTCAAAAGGTTTCTTTTCACCTCCCACTCCCCAAAATGCGAGCTCGTCATCCTCGCTGCCCTGGATAATAGCCATTGTTAAATGTCTGCCTTTGCTCAGGTTTGCTCCAGGCAGGCTGGAGCCCCAAATCTTTCCTTTGGAGCCCCAAATCCCTGGAGGGATCACTGGAAGAAAACCACAAGGTGTTGAGGTTGTTTCTTGCATGGGCTGTGCTCCCTGCGGCCCCCTCAAATTTTTCTGCCGGGGGCCTTCCCGTTTCGCTGTGTGCCTCCCTTTCTACAAAGATCTCTGCAGCTGGCCCCATGGACCTGAGTGCCCGGTCTTTCCAGCACCTCTTGCTGTTCCAGCCCCTCCCTCTTATTATCCAGCTGGCTTTAGACTGTAGGCTGTCTGGGGCAGAGACCTGTCGTATTGTACACTTTTTGGACTGGGTTTTCCTGACGCATGACTCGATCCTTGGAATTCCCACTGCAAAGGAGTCTTAACACAGCCGCGCATAATATGAGCTTCCCACGGAGCAGATAGGCAGGTGATCCCGGAAGTGCCGGGTGAAACAGCGGAAGTCACTTTTGGAAGATGTGATGGCTCCCAATTTGAGAAGGGTTTGGGCAACTTCGTGCAGGAGAAAGCAGCCAATGGCTACTAGTCCACATGGCCCTGTTCTCCCCCAAATGTCAGCGGCTGGATGCCCATGAGCACCGGTTGCTGGGAAACATGGGTCAGAAAGTGCCGTTGCATTGAGTCCTGCTCAGAGCTTTTCTTCCGAGGCACCTGGCCGGCCACAGGGGTGCACATGGCCCCCCAACCTTACCCAGACCTGCTCCCCAGATGTTCTTCCTATCAATGCATTGAACAGAGCTTTAGCGCATGCACTCTGGAGGTAATTCTGCAGAACGCACGGCAGTCTTGGAAGTGCCCCATCGGGTAACGGCAGAAAATAAGGAGTGGGGCAGCCATGAAATTTTAGGAAGCGCTGTGCCTGATCCGACACTCGCAGCCCCTTGAGAGCAAGCCGGGGAAGAATAGGTCTGGGGTAGACTCAGGACTTGAACAGTTGCTGCCTTAAGAAATGAGACCGCAGCACAGGGCTGCCGCCTCCTGGAGTGCCAGCAAAGCAGGAGATGAGCGAGGAGCCAAGCCAAGAACGTTCCTCTTTGGGGCACCCCATTCATGGGATGTTCTCCCCAGTGAGGATCGAGGACCGTCTGAAACCCGCTGAATCCTTTCAGGAGTCAGGTCAAGCCCTTACTTTGTCAGGCCTCTGAAGGACTGGTGCTGGAAACATTTGCACGAGGCAGCTGTTTAAAAAGCACTGGTATTTTACAGTGGCTTTCTTAGTTGTGGCTTTGCTTCGGCACTGTGCTAAGCACGTCATTTGTTTTATTACTGCCAATTGGGTTCTTGACAGTTTGCATTTACTATTTTCTTGGAAAGAGCAGTGTAAACCAGACAGGAATGACTCTCCTACCTTCTGTCCAAACATGTTCTTATAAAGAACAGGCCTGTTGCAATCACAGCCAAAAGCTCTCTATGGGTCTGCTCTGCATCTGGATTAATCAATTGATCGATTAATTAATAATCTTGTATTAGTTCAAGCACCTCTGAAGCCAGTGAAGGAGTCTGCCTGCCATGTCTCTGCATGAGGTGGTGCTCTGCCTTTGGCATCTTCTCAATGGGCTAACATAGGATTATTCATTCACTCCCTGTGGAAACATGCTGGGAGATGACCCACACGACTTGCAGGAGGCTGCTTGTTGCATCCCTGATTGAGTCTCTGGGCTCGACCACTTCCAGGTGCAGGGATGACTATTTCTGAAATCATCACATCACCAAGAAAAGCAGGACTGCCGAGCTGCTTTCACCCAAGGGCAGAATTCCATTTCAGAGGAGGCGCATTCCAGCAGGTCTGGGAGGCGAAAGCGGAGGGGCAGGGGCAGAAATCCGGGGCTATTTTCCTTGCCAGCAGCCAAGCCTTGGACCAGCCTTTCAGAACAGGGAAAAGTCTGCACAAGAGCCGGGGAAACAGCACACCATCAGTGCTCGGGGCAAAGGTGTGTGGTCAGGGGAAGGGCATGTGGAGGCCTGGGGCCTGGCTGGCCAGGTGGGAGCTCAGCTCCCCTGTCCCCGCGGCACAGCCTGATTGTAGTGACTGCACGCTGCAGAAGTCACTCCCCCGACACACACACACACACACACACACACACACACACACCTTGCTTTTTGAACTTTTCGCCTGATGGACAGCATCTGGCCGTCTCAAAAGTATGCCTATTTGTGGCCTATTTAATAAATAAAAGTTGGGTCGTCGTAATCCAAGTATTGTTAACCGCAAGACAGGTCTGGGCACCTTTCTTAGGATGGACACAAGCCGAGGCTGAGAGGGTCAGGCGTGGCAGCGGCCGGGGAGTCCCTGACTCAGGGATGCAGCCCCCACCTAACCCAGGGCAACCGCTTTTCCCCTTCCTGGGGCCCCCTCCTTGAGAACTGCTCTGCCCCGTCTGCCTTTCTCTTTCCTCTTTAACTCTCTTCTTCCTCTGTCTTTTTATCTCTTTCTACTCTGTCGTTCTTCTTTCTAGTCCTTTAACATTCTTCTTTCTTCCTCTTTCATGTGGCTCCTTCCTTCCTTCTTTAACCCTCTTCCTTCTCTGTCCTTTTATCTTTATTCTCTATCACTCTTCTTTCTAGTCCATCTCTAATTCCCTCCTTTCTTCCCTCTTAAACACTTTTCTTCCTTCCTTCCCTCTTTAATCCTTTTTGTCTTATCTCTTTCTTCACTATCACTCTTCTTTCTAGTGCTTCTCTAACTCCTTCCTTTCTTTCCTCTTCAACACTTTTCTTCCTTCCCCTTCCTTCCTCTCTCTCCTTCCTCTTTAATCCTCTTCTTTCTGTCTTTTTATCTCTTTCTTCTTTATCACTCTTATTTCTAGTCCTTTTTAAATCTGTTTTCTAGCATTTCTCTGTCTCCCTCCTTTCTTTCCTCTTACACATTCTCTCCCCCCCCCCCCCCCTCTTGGTGCTCTTTCTTCTTTAACGCTCCCCCTTCCTCCTTTCGGTCTCCGCCAGATCTTCCACATGACCTACGACCTGGCCAGCGCCGTGATGCGGATCATCAACCTCATCGGGATGATGCTCCTCCTGTGCCACTGGGACGGGTGCCTCCAGTTCCTCGTGCCCATGCTGCAGGACTTCCCCAGCGACTGCTGGGTCTCCATCAACGGCATGGTGGTGAGTGGGGAAGGCCAGGCAGCCGCCATCTGGGTCAGGCCAGGGGCCTCCATGAGGACCAGGAGCATGGATCTGAGCCAGGAGTGCAAAGCAGGCAGGGCAGGGTTCGGCCCTTCTGTCTACACAGGGGTCCTCAAGCTTTTAAAACTGGGAGCCAGTTCACTGTCCCTCAGACTGTTGGGGGGCCAGACCATAGCTTGAAAAAAATATCATGAATTCCTATGCACACTGTACAGATCTTATGTGTAATCCAAAATAACGGGAAAAAACAATACCATATTTAAAGTGAAGAGCAATTTTAATCAACATAAGCTGATTAGTATTTCAGTGTGATGTGTGGGCCTGTTTTTGGCTACTGAGATGGGCAATCTCTGGTTCCATATTTTCTCCTCTCTTCTGCATTCTCGCTCCCCTGCTTTTGAAAATGCGGAATTTCTGGCTTTGCTAACAAGGACAACCACCTAGCAAAGCAAAGCTCCCCATCATCTCCAACCAGCCATCTCAATGACCATGAAGGGACCATGAGGACTAGAAACTTGTGTCTTGTTCCATTAACTTTTTAATGAATGCTGAGGTATCCATGACTCCAGGGTGTGGCACAGGAGACAAAGTGTCTGTGTGACCTCAGAGAGGTCCATTCGCCTCCCTGGGGCCTGTTTGAAGCTGCCCCCCCCCACTCCATGCCTTGTAGAACGACTCCTGGAGCGAGCTGTACTCCTTCGCCCTCTTCAAGTCCATGAGCCACATGCTGTGCATCGGATACGGGCGCCAGGCCCCGGAGAGCATGACCGACATCTGGCTGACCATGCTGAGCATGATTGTGGGCGCCACCTGCTACGCCATGTTCATCGGCCACGCCACGGCGCTCATCCAGTCCCTGGACTCCTCCCGGCGCCAATACCAGGAAAAGGTACAGACCGCGGAGGGAAGCGATGCGCACGAAGAGGTGCATTTTGGTGTGCCTTGCCAGGCGCTGGACTCGAATAAAACCACGGCACCAGACTTCTTTCAGCCTACAGGCCGCATTCCCTCTTGGGAAGACAAATTTTCACTTAAAGTGTGCTTTTTCGGGGGTGGGATAGACCTGTTCCCTGCTCTCTCCCTTCCTTTCTTCATTCACGCCCACAAAACCTCCACCCAGGCAAGGCGCCCGTTTTGAGACCTCTCCCAGGCCGGCCGGCCGGATCCTTGCTCTTTCCCTTCGCGTTTGCATTCTTCAGGGCTGCTAGGCTGTTGCATTCTCTCCCAAGAAAGCGGATCCGAAGGGGCGTCACATCGCCTCCTGGCAAGCTTGTGTTTGTACCCTGTTTCCCCGAAAATAAGACCTAACCGGAAAATAAGCCCTAGAATGATTTTTCAGGATGCTCGTGATATAAGCCCTACCCCAAAATAAGCCCCAGTTAAGATTGTCAGCCAGACGGGCGCATTTAGTATGTCCGTTGCAACACATATAGATGTATTGAATTATAAAATAATAATGCTAATATATAGTTAGCTATAAATAAATATTATTGACATTAATACTTGAAATAAATAATAATATATGCTATAATTAAGTATTTGTCCATACTGAAGCGGGCACCTTTGGACAAGAGGTAAACACCTGTGTAACAGATGAATGCGAGATGTATGGCGAATGACCAGAATACTGAGAACGCATGAATAACATCGATATGTCGTGTGTTGTAACGGACATGCTTAATGCACTCGTGTGTTGCCACTCCTGCCTCGTAAGTCTTCAACCGCCACTTGATTTAACGGCAGCTTTAAAGGGAATAATACTTTGACCCCCCAGACAAGATGAGTGCACAAAGGAGCGATTCCACTGAGTAAAAGCAAGGAATCATGGAGGACTCTCGGGGCCAGAATCTTATGGCTTTCTTAAGAAAAAAATAAGGCTTTGCCTGAAAACAAGCCCTGATGCGTCTTTTGGAGCAGAAATTAATACGAGACCCGGCCTTATTTTGGGGGGAGCATGGGCGTCGGCTCCCTTGGAACAGAATCTGCGATTCACGGGCTCTCTCTCTATCTCGCTTCCGCCCCGCAACTCCCCTGCAGTACAAGCAAGTGGAGCAATACATGTCCTTCCACAAGCTGCCGGCAGATTTCCGGCAGAAGATCCATGACTATTACGAACATCGCTACCAGGGCAAGATGTTCGACGAGGACAGCATCCTGGGCGAGCTGAACGAGCCCCTGCGCGAGGTAAGCCGCCTCCTCGGCTGCCCCCCCACTCTCCAGCGGGGGGGAGCGCCTCTGGGCGGCCACAGAGGGCACAGGGTCCGTGCTGCTTTGCGGGGGGAGATTCGATTGAACGTCTTAGAGGAACAGCACCCCCCGCCCTGTGCCTGCTGGCTGCAGCAGTTTATTTTAAAAATGTATTTCTGCATTTACGTGGCCCCTTGCAAGGATGGCTCCCATGGCCCCCCCCTTCATTTTTAAGCCTCGCAACAACCCTGTGAGGTAGGTGCCACTGAGAGGCTGTGACTGGCTCAGAGTCGCCCTGAGAGCTTCAAGGCCAAGCAGGGACTTCAACCCCTGCTCTCGCGAGCCCTGGCCTCTAACCACCACACGACACTGCCTGGTATCTGTCTGCAGATTAAACCTGCGAGTATCTGTGTGGCGGGGTACCATCTTGCCCTGAGCTGCAGACCACCCTATGGAAAGCAAGCTCCTAGTCCTCATGGCTCTGAACAGAACGCTGGCTTATGGAAGGCCAGGCCGAGTTCATCCAGCCCCCTTTGACAGCAAGGGCCGGGGGGCCTTCCCTGGGGAGTTAGCTTCACTCTCTCTGCACCCCACCCCTGTCTCTCCCGCTAGGAGATCGTCAATTTCAACTGCCGGAAGCTGGTGGCTTCCATGCCGCTCTTCGCCAACGCGGACCCCAACTTCGTCACCGCCATGCTCACCAAGCTGAAATTCGAGGTCTTCCAGCCGGGGGACTATATAATCCGGGAAGGCACAATCGGGAAGAAGATGTATTTCATTCAGCACGGGGTGCTCAGCGTCCTGACCAAGGGCAACAAGGAGATGAAACTCTCCGATGGCTCCTACTTTGGAGGTGGGCCGCTCAGAAGGGTCCCTGAGGCGTTTTCTTGTGGCTGCTTATCCAGACCAGACGTTGTTGTTCTTGCTAGTCGTGTCCGACCCATCGTGACCCCATGGGCAACCTTCCTCCAGGCCCTCCTGTCCCCCACCATCGCCTGGAGTCCACCCAAGCTCACACCAACTGCTTCAGTGACTCCATCCAGCCACCTCCTCCTCAGCCGTCCCCTTCTTCTCTTGCCCTCAATCCTTCCCAGCATCAGGGTCTTCTCCAGGGTCTTCTCATCAGGTGGCCAAAGTCTTTGAGCTTCATCTTCAGTATCTGGCCTTCTGAAGAGCAGTCAGGGTTGATCTCCTCTAGGACTGACCAGTTTGATCGCCTTGCGGTCCAAGGGACTCGCAGGGTCTCCTCCAGCACCACAATCCAAAGACCTCAATCCTTCAGCGCTCAGCCTTCCTTATGGTCCAGCTTTCACAGCCATACATTGCAACTGGGAAAACCATCGCCTTGACTATATGCACTTTTGTCAGCAGGGTGATGAATCTGCTGTCTAGATTTGCCATAGCTTTCCTCCCCAGGAGCAAGTGTCTTTTAATTTCTTGGCTGCAGTCCCCGTCTGCGGTGATTTTGGAGCCCAAGAAAATAAAATCTGTCACTCCCTCTATTTCTTTCCCTTCTATTTGCCAGGAAGTGAGAGGACCAGATGCCATGATCTTAGTTTTCCTAATGTTGAGTTTCAAGCCAACTTTTGCACTCTCCTCTTTCACCCGCATCAAGAGGATCTTCAGTTCCTCTTCACTTTCTGCCATGAGAGTGGTATCATCTGCATGACAGAGGTTGTGGATATTTCTCCTGGCAATATTAATTCTGACTTGTGATTCATCTAGCCCCACCTTTCTCATGATGTGCTCTGCATACAAGTTAAACAGGCAGGGCAACAGTATACAGCCTTGCCAAACTCCTTTCTCAATTTTGAACCAATCCGTGGTTCCGTGTCCAGTTCTCACTGTTGCTTCTTCACCCACATACAGGTTTCTCAAGAGACAAATAAGATGGTCTGGTACTTCCATCTCTTTAAGAACTGGCCACAATTTGTTATGATCCACACAATCAAAGGCTTTACCATAGTCAATGAAGCAGAAGTAGATGTTTTTCTGGAACTCCCTGGCTTTCTCCATGATCCAGCGTATGTTGGCAATTTGATCTCCAGTTTCTCTCCCTCTTCGAAACCCTGCCTGTACTTCTGGTAGTTCTCGGTCCACATACTGCTGGAGCCTAGCTTGTAGGATTTTGAGCATAATTTGGCCAGCATGTGGAATGAGTGCAATGGTGCGGTAGTTTGAACGTTCTTTGGCATGGCCCTTCTTTGGGATCGGAATGTAAACTGACCTTTTCCAATCCTGTGGCCACTGTTGAGTTTTCCAAGTTTGCTGGCATATTGAGTGTAGCACTTTACCTGCATCATCTTTTAGGATTTTGAATAGCTCAGCTGGAATACTGTCTCCTCCACTAGCTTTGTTGTTGCTCAGACTTCCTAAGGCCCATCTGACTTCACCTTCCAGGATGTCTGGCTCGAGGTCAGCGACCACCCCATCGTGGTTCTCAGGGACGTTAAGCTCTTTCTTGTATAGCTCTTCTCTGTAATCTTGCCACCTCTTCTTAATCTCGTCTGCCTCTGTTAGGTCCCTGCCATTTTGGTCCTTTATTATGTCCATCTTTGCATGAAACGTTCCCTTCATGTCTCCAATTTTCTTGAAGAGTTCTCTGTCTTTCCCTGTTCTGTTGTTTCCTTCTATTTCTTTGCACTGTTCATTTAAGAAGGCCTTATCTCTTCTAGCTGTTCTCTGGAATTCTGCATTCAATTGTTTGTATCTTTCCCTTTCCCCCTTGCCTTTCACTTCCCTTCTTTCCTCAGCTATTTGGAAAGTTTCCATTTTGCTTCCTTGCATTTCTTTTTCTTTGGGATGGTTTTAGTTGCTACCTCTTGTACAATGTTGCAAACCTCCGTCCATAGTTCTTCAGGCACTCTGTCTATCAGATCTAATTCCTTAATGTATGTTCATCAGGAATATGATTTAGGTCGTACCTGAGTGGCCAAGCCAGATGGGACCTGGCAAAATTCTTTCCCTATTTGCAGGCAGAGCATGGGTGGGGACACCCCCTCCCAAATTCCTCCAGGGGGAGGAGGCATTCTCAGGTCGGGCTCACCTACACACAGGACGCACCGTTCACTCCGAGCCCCTTTTGCATCCTCCACAAGGTCCTTGTCCCTGTTGTTGTGGGGAAGAAATTGTAGGCAGCCGCCCCATAAGGCTAACTGGAGTGTGGGGAGCCAAGGAGGCTGCTGGGAAGATGGTGGGAGTGCCGCTCCGAGGCCACCTCCTCAGGAAGCCGGAAACCCCAAACCCAGCTCAGGGGAATTTCTCCCTCTCCAGGAGGGCCTCCCCCTTTGGAAAATTCTTCTTTGTATTTCTTTTCAAAAGCTATATATTTCTTGCCACAAGCTGAATGAGAATGGCCTCAAAAAAGTGGGAGAAAGTTTTGGCTAATGCGAGTGAGAAAATGGGAAAGAAATCCTGGGAAAGGAGGTGGAGTGGCAGTGGAGGGGCGGGAGCCAAGATCAGGCGTTGTCTCAGCAGTTGTTCGAGGCTTTGTGTGTGGAGACGGCAACTGTGAGTACCGGCTGCTTGGGACAAATGAACCCGCTGATGCCTGGGAGGTACCAGACTACAACGGCAGAGCTGGAGTTCCAGACTTGGGTCCGACTCAGCAGGTGTGGGGGGCTTCTGTGGGGATCCATCTGAAATCTGGCATGGGTTTCCGACGTGAACCTTTTCCCTATCTTCCTGTCCAGAGATTTGCCTTCTGACAAGAGGACGGCGGACTGCAAGTGTCCGCGCTGATACCTACTGTCGTCTCTACTCCCTCTCGGTGGACAACTTCAACGAGGTCCTGGAGGAGTACCCCATGATGAGGCGAGCCTTCGAAACGGTGGCCATCGACCGCCTCGATCGCATAGGTAAGCGCCGGAGCTGTGCTTGTGCCGGGGGAACAAAGGGGATCCCTCGCTCGAAAGGATGGGACGCTTTTGGGGCTGGTGTGGCATTTGCTGTCAAAAATGCCCTAATTCTGCACTCTTTACATCTGTACATAGACAGGGTGGTGTGGGGGAGGGGTTTTCCAGTTGGAATAGAGAGGGCAGCTCTGACCCACGTGCCTCACTGATACCACTTCGTGAATCTGGCTTGTAAACCTTGCATGATCAGAAACAGAAACATAGAAAGAGAGGGAGTCAGAAGGGACCTCCCGGGCCATCTAGTCTGACCCCAGCTGCAGCCCTCTCCACTCGGAGAAACATAGAAGCAGAGTGAGGCAGAAGGGGTTCCCAGGGCCATCTAGTCTGACCCCTGCTCCCGCCGACTCCGCTCATAGAAACATAGAAGCTGAGTGAGGCAGAAGGGGTCTCCTGGGCCATCTAGTCTGACCCGGCTCCAGCCGGCTCTGCTCATAGAAACATAGAAACAGAGGAAGGCAGAAGGGACCACCCAGGCCATCTAGTCTGACCCCGGCTCCAGCTGGCTCTGCTCATGACATGCTCCTGATGGAAAGTCTGCAGATGGTTGGGGACAGTGTGGAAGCGGCATTCCAGCTGGCAGGCAGGGCAAAGGACGTTGGGAACGTCTCCTGCTCCATGAATGTGGGTGCATTTTCAATCCATGCATGGCGGGAAATGGAGGGCAGTCGGAGCTGTCTTCGGAGGCCCTGTCCTGCCACAGCTCTCCCTCCTGGCGCAGGAAGCATCTCTCCTCGGATGCACTTCTGCTGCAAGCGCAGGTCAGAATAGGCCCATCCTAGCTGAGGAATTCCCTGCCCTCCCTCGGAAGGTGTCCCCTGCAGCATCTGTATGTCTGCGCGGGACCCAGTCCACCGCAGCCACCTTCCGGCCCCTGGGCACAAGAGACAGGACCACCTGCCTCTCACACGCCCGTCTCCCCCCCCCCCCCCGCTCCCCAGGCAAGAAGAACTCCATCCTGCTGCACAAGGTCCAGCACGACCTCAACTCGGGCGTCTTCAACAACCAGGAGAACGAGATCATCCAGGAGATCGTCAAGTACGACCGGGAGATGGTGCAGCAGGCCGAGCTGCAGCAGGCGGCGGCCCTCTACGCCCCCGCGCAGCCCCAGGTGACCTCGGCCATCGCCACGCTCCAGCAGGCCGTGGCCATGAGCTTCTGCCCGCAGATGGCCAGCCCGCTGGTCGGCCCCATGGGGCTGGGCTCGCCCCGGGTGGTGCGGCGGCTGCAGTTCCCCGCGGGGGCGTCCGGACCCTTCTCCATCTCGCCGGCGCTGCTCCAGCAGCAGCAGCAGCAGCAGCAGCGGCCGCAGCAGCAACAGCCTCCGACGCAGAGCGCGCCGCCGCCGCCGCCCCAGGAACAGCCGCAGCCGCAGCCGCCGCCCGCGCAGCCCCCGCCGGCGCCGTCCAGCAGCCCGTTCGCCTCGGCGGTGCCCAGCCCGCCCTCGCAAAGCCCCCTCGCCAGCCGGACGTTCCCGTACGGGGGCGCCAAGGGCCAGTCGGGCTCGCAGCTGTCGCTGAGCCAGCAGAAGCTGCCCGGCTCGCCGCCGCGGCTGGCCGCGCACCGGAGCACGCAGGCCCTGCACACGAGCACGCTGAGCCAGGAGACGCGCCCGCTCTCGGCCTCGCAGCCCTCGCTGCCGCACGGCGCGGCCCAGCCCGCCAGCCCCCCGCCCTCGGCCCGCGAGTCCAGCGCGTCCGTCGCGGCGGCGCCGCGCGGGTCGCCGTCCTCGTCGCCCGCCGCCCCGACGCACAGC